GAGGTTTTCTGAGTTGGCTCGTCATGCCGTTTGGATGGTTCTGACAGATCGTGAGAGGATCAGGAGATTTGTTAATGGCCTTAACTATCATCTTCGTATTCTTATGACCCGAGAGAGGGTGTTGGGTGCTATGTTCGAGGAGGTGGTTGATATCGCTCGCGAGATTGAGACGGTTCGCCGTCAGGATTGAGAGGAGAGGGAGTCCAAGAGGCCTCGAGAATCGGGCAGTTACAGTGATGCTCCTTCGAGGGGCCAGTTCCAGCATGGTAGAGTTCATTCTTTCAGGCCTGCTCAGTCAGCCCGTCCAGAGTATCGTGGGGCATCTTCAGGCCTTGGTTATCATGGGTCTCAGCAGGGCCAGCCTTCGCTCAGTGCCCTACCAGCTCGGAGTTCATCTCGTGCCCCATCAATTCAGGGTTTTTCTATGCCGAGTGCATCAGCTAGTCACTCCAGTACGAGGGGTTCCCTTCAGTCCCCTTCTCCAGCACCTGGGAGTTATTTTGAGTGTGGAGAGTTTGGGCATGTGTGGAGGCAGTGTCCTCGTCGCGTTGCTAGTTCGTCCCAGCAGAGGGGTCAGCCCTCGACTTCTGCTCCAGTTACTTCACCACCCGCCCAGCCACCTAGGGGTGGAGGTCAGGAAGCCAGGGGTCGTCCTAGAGGGGGAGGTCGATCAGAGGGCGGTCAAGCCCATTTTTATGCACTTCTAGGTAAGCCAGATGCTATTGCTTTAGATGTTATCATTACAGGTATTGTCTCAGTCTGCTACAGAGATGCCTCTATATTATTTGATCCCGGTTCCACCTTTTCTTATGTGTCATCATACTTTGCTCATTATTTGGGTATGCCCCGTGAGTTTCTTGCTTTACCTGTTCATGTATCTACCCCGGTGGGCGATACTGTTATTGTAGACCGTGTGTACCGGTCATGTGTGGTGACTATTGGGGGTGTGGAGATCCGAGTGTATCTATTGCTATTGAGCATGGTGGATTTTGATGTCGTTTTGGGCATGGATTGGTTATCTCCGTGTCTTGCTATTCTAGACGTCATGCTAAGACAGTCACTTTGGCTATGCCGGGTGTGCTGCGGATCGAGTGGCGTGGTGTGACTGATTATGTTCCTAGTAGAGTGATTTCCTTCTTGAAGGCCCAGCGTATGGTTGGGAAGGGTTGTCTTTCATATCTAGCGCTTGTGAGGGATGTCGGAGGTGAGACTACCAGTATTAATTCTGTTCCAGTTGTGAGGGATTTTCCCGATGTGTTTCCTGCAGACCTGTCGGGCATGCCACCAGATAGGGATATTGATTTTGGTATTGACCTAGTGCTGGGCACTCAGCCCATTTCTATTCCATTGTATCGTATGGCACCAGCAGAGTTGAAAGAATTGAAAGAACAGCTTCAGGAACTCCTAGATAAGGGGTTAATTTGGCCTAGTGTGTCACCTTGGGGTGCACCGGTTATGTTTGTGAAGAAGAATGATGGCATAATGAGAATGTGCATTGATTATAGGCAATTGAACAAAGTAACAATTAAGAACAAGTATCATTTGCCTCGAATTGCTAATTTATTTGACCAGCTTCAGGGAGCGAGAGTGTTCTCCATGATTGATCTCCGTTCGGGTTATCACTAGTTGAAGATCAGGGATTCAAATATTCTTAAGACTTCAGGACCAGATATAGTCATTATGAGTTCCTTGTGATGTCTTTCGGGCTAACTAATGCCCCAGCAACGTTCATGCATTTGATGACCAGCGTGTTCCGGCCTTATCTTGATTCGTTCGTTATAGTATTCGTTCGTTCGAAAAAAGAAACTAACTTATTCACACCTGCAACAGGAATGCCACCATCATTATCAGACACAAGTTTAAAAATGGAACTCCATCCTTGAGAAGACATACTCATGATCTTTTTTACTGCAAAATAGCCTCTATACTTTAAAATGCTATTTTGAAGCTTTACGTAACTAAAGTGAAAATTGACATAGTTAAACTATACTCTTCGAATGTATGCAGAAAAATATTTAGTTAAAATGAGTTTACGAACTCACCATCTTTGTGTTAACAAGTGAAACAGGTGATAGTGATTGTTGGTGATCGTCCATTGAGTTATCAGAAACCTATCACAAAAGAGGAAGATTACTACAATAAAAAGAAAATTAAATTACAAGATTATCTTAAATACAATAAAATTTTGCTAAAGAGCACAATATATTTTACCTGCTCATCACCAGATAATTTCTTAATTGAGCCAATAGTAATACCCAAAGATTTTAGATATGCATTTATACCCAGCTTTACTTTATCTTCTATTTTTGCATCCATATCCTTTGATGTTTCTAACATTTTTCCCCCATTGCTTTTATTTCTTCTTTTGCTTCAAATAATTTTTTTCTGTCGCTTCTATTTCTTCTTTTGCTTCAGACAATTTTTCTTCCATCGCAATTCTTATAGCGGAGGTAGTGTTTTCAACTTCTATCTCAACCCTTCTATCAAAATCTCTTGCTCAGCCTGGGATCACTTATATGCAGGGCCATAAACAAAACTTGGAGCTGCTCCTTTTCCTAAAATTCGAATATTTTCATGAGTGTCTGGTCCCATAACCTGTGCATACACATCATTTGGAGCACTTCCAGGGATATTTAACTCGGGATACACCTTAGAAAGTTCATCTATTTCTTTATTTTGGAAAGAAAAGGTAAAACAATGAAAAGCTAATAAAATTTTATATTGGAAAGAAAGTAATTCATATTCATAAAGAATGGGAATTTACCATAGTTTCATCAGCTATCTCATTTACTAGTTGTTTATTCTTTCTTGTATGTGTTTCTTTGAATACCTCAATAAGACTTGGTTTTACACCATTCTTCTTTGTCATCTATTTAAATAGTAAAAAATTTGTAGCAAAGATATTCAAGAAAATAAGTATTGATATATAAATTGCAGAAAGCTTATAGTAAATATGGCATACATCATCTATAATTTGAGAATGACTTTTTCTTCCTGATGTGTGTGGCATACTCAACTTCCTTCGACTTTCTTTGTTCCTCTCGCTCTTTTCCTAGAAAAGTTACGCGTAATTTTATATATTAGAACTAATTCATGGCCAAACATCAGACCAAAAAATAAAACTTTTAAAAGAAAAAAGAGAAAAGGTAAGAAGAACTACAGAGGAAAAGCATAAAAATATTTAAAAGAAAAAGTATGATCCGCATAAGGAATGCGCTAATAGCATGTGCCAAGGGCAAGAGAAGAAGATGCTTGATGCTCGGAGAATACCTTTGCTTCATTAGAGCTCCAATAATGAACTAATGCACGCCACTGGTCTTCTTCTACCATGTCTGGACGTTTAGCTAAGTGCTCGATATCGTTGTTGTATGGCTTAAAACCAATCATTTTTGCTTCATGCTTCCATTCTTTCCATTTAGATCCAACCAATATCATCAACATACGTCTCATATCCTTAGTTGCATCAGTATTTTCCTGCAAACATCAACGTATAACACATGTATAAAAGCATAAAATCAATAAGAATCTTAGTATATAACCTTTTTCTTTAATTTTATAAGCACCTTAATATGAGCCCATATCCTATTCTTGTACAGTTTAGGCACAAGCCTCCAATCTTTATGATTTAAAGGAGCTAAAATGCCATTTCGTGTTATGACTCCAAGTTTTGAACTCAATGTAGTTGCATCAGGTCCAATAGCTTGATTAAGATTATTCAACTCAACATGTAAAATGCCACCATCTTTTCTCCATCCTGAGTGCATTATAGTAGGACCCCTAGGTCGCTTAGATTGCTCTTCATTAGCACTAGAGTCTGCAATAACCAAATACAAAAAAGAGAGTCGTCCATAACTAGTAAAACTCAATTAATTATTCTTTTTCTTCTTTTAAAAATTCACATAAATACTCCATTAATACCAAGGGATTAGAATAATAAAGTGATAGAGGAAAAGCTGTCATAAATGAAGCATATATATTTTTGGGGGAAAAAACTACAGCGATACAGGTAGGTATAGTGATATGAATTCTTTCTTGGATATTATATCTGCTAGATTATTAGACGCCTTAGCTAGATCCATTAAACATATCTTAGCGATAATGTTGATGTGCTCACAATCTGTCTCATGTTTTCAATTTGTATATGAAAGCTAAGTGTAATTGGCCAATGTACTGCAGAAGATAGCTTCTAATAGCAAAGCAAGTGCTACCTTCATAAGCACAGAATATATATGTCTCCACATTCATGATACTATTTGTATGTTTAAGTGGTGTCTCTGCTTCTGTGGGGGACTTATAAGTATATTATTTTAGGAACAATGATAGAGATGAGTGGTCAAAGTACAAGTACTCTCGGTGGATTTGCTTGAGTTGATATTTTATATTTAGGTCTACTTGGTTGCTTGGGAAAAAGTGTACAAATACACAAAGTGTAGCTATTCAATAAAAATAAGATATTATACAAAATAAGTACCTAGGGATTTTTTTGTTTCATGTGAATCATTTCTTGATTTACTGGATCGAATAGCTTGTCCTTCATTTTGTGGCCAGTTTTGAGGTGGTTGAGGCATCGCCGCACCTCCCATTTGTTCTTCTTGTTGCTCCGGAACATCAGACAGAAGCATTTCTTAACTGAAATTTCTCTGTCTTTTTCTTGCCATCACAATAAAGTTGCTCAAATACTACAAAGTTGATACTATAATATATATATATATATATATAGTGTGTGTGTGTACAAGTATTTTAGCTGGTTCACAATTACATATTTTCTAAACCATATGTGAAATTTTTCATTGTGAATCTGATCCACATCATGTCTCGATAGACGAGAATTTTGCTTCTTGATTTCTTTTATATGCTCACTGCAAAAGTAAAACACTTAAAAACTTAATAAAAGAAATTATAAATGTTATTACTTAATAATTAATTATAAAGCAGAATATTATTGAATACTTACTGACGGTATGGCATTATGGTAACAGAATTAAATAAAACATATCTATGCTCTTGGGCATGAGTAATGTCATCAAGCGTAAACCTATCAATTTTAGTTGACTGACGACACTCTTGATTTGGAATCTCATTATAGAAACCATAATTTCTTAAAGATCGATTTAACTTTGTCTCCACATCATGTAGATATCTTGATCAGAATGTCATGCACTCTTCTATCCAATATCCCTCTGTAATTGAACCTTCTGGATGGCTTCTACTCCTCACATAATTTTTAAGAGTAAGCAAGTACCTAAAATAATAAATAATACTATAATTCAATATAATACTTCATAAGTACAATAAATAAGAATAACGAAATGGTACCTTTTAAATGCCTACGTTGAATGGTATTGTGGAGGTCCACCAATCTTTGCTTCTTCAACTAAATGGATGACTAGATGTTCCATGATATCAAAAAAAGATGGAGAAAATATTCTCTCAAAATGACAAAGAGTTATTGCAACTCGATCTTGGAGCTTTTCTAATTCACCTATGTTCATAACTGTCGAACAAATGCCCCTAAAAATATTACTTAATTCTATCATTGGCTTAAGGACATTCAGTGGAAGGAGACCTCGCAAAGCAATAGGAAGGAGTTATTGACAGTCATGACTCTTCAATCCATGCACAGTGCATTGCTTAAGATCAACACAACGTGATATATTGGAAGCATATCCATCTGGTACTTTCACATCTCTTAAAACTTGTAAGAGCATATCTTTTTGTGCATTACTCAAAAAGAAACATGTTGGAGGTAGATAGTATTTGCCATTAGTTTTTTTTAGGGTGCAAAGCCTTTCGAATCCCCTTCTCTTGTAAATTCAAACGAGAATTCAGATTATCTTTTTCTTTCCCGTCAACATTTAGTAATGTTCAGAATATATTGTCAAATACATTCTTTTTTATATGCATTGTGTCAAGATTATGATGAATCATATTGTCTTTCCAGTAGTCTAACTCAAAAAATATGCTCTTTTTTTTCATAAATATTGTAACATGGCATCGTCAACATGATCAGAATTCTTCCATTTTCTTTTCTTGGATTTGGCCAATAGATGTTTTCCGAATTATTCTAATACCTTTCAATTGCTTAAGAACTTCAATACCTGACAAACATTTAGGTGTTGCCTCTAACTCCTTAAAACCATCAAACGAAACTTTATCTTTTCGAAACATGTGCCCATGGGGTAACCAACGCCTGTGCGACATGAAGCAATATTTTCCCCCATATTTCAATCTCAGAAATTTAGTCTTGGTCAGACAACATGGACAAGCATATCTAGTTTTCACACCATATCCTGATAAGTTACCTAGTGCTGGAAAATCATTGACTGTCCAAAGCAATGAAGCACGCATTTGAAACATATGATATTTTGTATAAACTGACACAACTGTATAGACAACAAAAACTTTTACTTGATAAAAATTAATATTAATATATTTATTAAAAACAGCAAAATGGGGTACTCCTCACAAAGATTAACACCAAAATTTCTCTCTCTCTCACACACAAAAAAAAATACAAGATCCATTTTTTTCAACCAAACAGACAACAAAAAAGAATAACCAATTAGTTACTATACAATAATTAACACTTTAATCACCAAGAAACTAATAATATAATTGAACTCTAAGCATAATCTGCCACTAAATAATGAAAATCCTATATCCAGCTTTATAAATATACTAAACAACAAACACCCAAAAACACACCAAAAAATCAAAATCAATCTACCAATCAATACCTAAAGAGAAAATTGTTAACTCAAATTCGAATAATTAAGAAAAATAAAGAAATTTGTTAACCCAAATCCGAACAACTAAGAAAAGGAAAGATATCTGTTATCTAAATTGGGTACCTTGAATTTGTAGAAAATAACCTTTGTGAATCTCAGCAGCAAAAGCCTCAGAGATTTTCATCTCCAATTATCTATTATTGCACAGTGGAATGTAAAAAATTAGGTTTTTTGTAAAATTCTAACTAAGGAAGGAAAACTATATTTTTTAAAATTGGGAGGAGGGAAGCAAAATTCTTACCGCCAAAATCTTTTCCTTTTAATTATCCAATACTCTCCATACATAGCTCCTTTTGAGTCTTGGGATGGAGGGAGCAGACTTGAGAAATTTTGGCTAAACCCAATTTGAGATTTTGAGCCAAAATTGATTTTAGATTGAGAGAAGAGAGGGGATGGGTCCTGAGGTGCTTGTAAGGCTACGGCTTTCTCAAGTTTTGTCAGTAAATGTTGGTTCCTTGGTTTCATAAATATTTTTGTTTTATTTTAAATATTTCAATCTTTAAATCCAACATCTAATAAGTAGTAGTAATAATAATATATATATTGACTAAATATTAATATTTTAATNACTTAATATCCAGGGAGGCGTTAGCCTCAGGAATCTTTAAATTTTTTAGTTCAAGAAATTAATATATATATATATATATATATATATAATAAAAATATAGAAAGTGCATTAAAAGGTTAAGAAAATCAAAGGATTAAGGAAACTCATAAAAACCAAAATATCTAACATGTTTTACAAGTATAAACAAAACAATAGTGTTAAAATTGTTTTCAAACTACATATTTGATTATTTCCCTAAAAGGCTAGAAGTTATAAATTATTATCAAACTACACATTTAATTACCTTCCTAAAAGTAATAATCAATAAACTTTATCAATATTATAATTCAAAATATTACTCCTTCAGAAATAAATACAAAGTATTAAAGTCTCTTTTGGTAGATAAAAAATTAAGAATAAAAATCAATAGCGAGTGAAGATATATAGTTCGATTAACACTCACGATGTTTTCATTTAGTAAATAAACAATACTATGACTCATTATTTGAGTTAAGATCATTTATTTGTTAATGTATTTTGAGGGTCTACACCATTAATTAAAAAATTTAAGAGATGATTTACCTAGTACTTATTGAGCGAGCCCAAACGCTGAGCGATAGGCATGTAGGGTGCATAATCTTATGTTTGTGGTGCATGTAAGCCTCACAAATTAAGCCCTACACTTGAGCCGCCTCAAGGCATTGTGCAAATGCGTCGCTCATGAGCTAGTCCTGGACGAGCCTTTTAAAATATTAAGCAACAAGAAGAGAAATCGTCTATATTGTAGGTAATTAACACAATATTTTAACAAATTAAATATTAAATATAAAGGGTGTGATATTTTTTATAAGACAAAGAATGATTTAAAATTTAGAAAGTATAGAGAAATTTTCAATTGTAGATGTAAATGTTCGTAATTACCGACAAATAATATGACATTTAAAGTAAGGTCATATTTTTTTGTCATTTGTATCAAAAATATTTTTACAACATTTGATATAAGTGTCATATTTTTACTACAGTTTGGACCAAATGTCATTGTTTTTATGGCATTTTATACCAAATGTCGTCCTTTTTACGACATTTTGGATCAAATGTCTAATTTTTACGATATTTTGTAGCAAATGTCGTACTTTTTACGACATTTCTTAAGAAATGTCATTATGTTGACGACATTTTGTATCAAATGTCGTTGTTTTAATGATATTTCCTATCAAATGTCATTTTTTACAACATTTAGTATTAAATGTCATTGTTTCTATGACAATTAATATTAAATATCGTAGTTTTTATGATACTTTGTCATAAATGTCAAAAAAGGAAATTTTCCGACATTTATTTCAATAGTCACTAAATAAATGTCGTCGTATCCTCAATTTCTTGTAGTGCTTGTAAGAACTCACTTTGACAAAAAGATTCGCTTTCTCCTGCTAAGATATAAACACCACCTTTTCATTAAAGTTCTAATTTATACTATTCCATACTTTTCCATCAGATCCGATAATAACTTGAATATTCAAGGATTTGTCTGTCATTCATCATTGTCAGGGAGAAACATCCATCTATTTCATCCTTTATTGGGTGAATCATTCTTCCTATTTACTTAAATGTCATTTATTGATATTCATTGAAATTGAATGCTACTTTATTACTTATGCCTTTTCGAACAGTTATTGCATGCTGCCATTACTATCTAACCGAGCTCACCCATTGATTATTGCGTCCTTGAATGTTTTATCTAGAAATACTATTGTTAACTAAGTTTAACTCATAATTATATAAATTTAATTATTTGAACCAAGATACATATTTTTTGGTCAAATAATTTGGCGCCACCTGTGGGGATTTCTTAGTTAAAACTTTTAGTTTCTTCTAGATCTACAACTAGCACGAGTCACTAACGTAAAAGAAAAAAACAAGATCTCCTTTTTGTGCACACAAATCCTAACATGGCAGGTAACCGAGAAGAAAGGACGAGGATAATAAGTGACCTCCCAACCAACCTCATGAACGTCATCAACGAAAGTTGTGAAACGGCAGACGAAGGCGCGACACTCGGTGCCTCCCCTAGGCGATATGAGTCACCACCCCCTCACTGCAGCGCCCCCAGTTGTAAAAAAACGCTCGAAGCGTGGCTAATTGACATGTTGACCAGCGTCATCAACAAGCCCGCTCGGGACATAACTATAGAAAATGCAAGGACTTGCACGATACAATAAACGGACGAGCAGTGCAACTAACCTTTTCCCCCAACAACAGGTATTACTCACAATGTCATTGATAGTGCAGGTGACAACGCCCTTGCAACTATTCTGAAAAGGATGGAAGAAATGGAGAATGAAAACAAGATACTCTGAGATCAAATGAAAGAACACCAAGAAAGGTTCAATAAAATACCAGGCACCCCTAAGCTGTTGTCAAAGAGGGATTCCTGCCAGTTCATCGAACAACCGTACAGTGATGATGCAGCCCCGCATGCTATACCAAAAACCTTTAAAATGCCGCCTTACCTCAGGAAACGACCTTGACAAAGAATAGATATCTTCTATCTTGCTAAAGAAGTTTAGTGAAACCCTCACATGAGGGGCATTAACCTGGTATTCGCAGCTACCAACACGCTCCATAGAAACCTTTGAAGAAATGGCTGACAAGTTCGTGACGGCTCACGTCGGAGCTAGAAAGACCGAGGTAAGAGTGAACGACATATTTGCTATTAAACAATCTCTGGGAGAGGGACTGAGGGACTTCCTTGTCTGGTTCAACCAACTAAGGATGACTTTGCCAAATGTGTTTGAAGGGATGGCGGTCACAGCTTTTCAGAACGGGCTGAGTAGGGATGGTTCAAGAGCAACGAGAAAACTGTTAAGTCGGTTGATAAAGTACCCCCCAACCACTTGGGACGAAATACACAATTCTTATTGTGCCGAGGTTCGTGAAGATGAGGATGACCTTAATGGTCCAACCCACTGACTATCCTCAGTACAAGCGGAATCAAGAAAGGACCGAAGAGACAATGCCAGAAGATATCATCCAATTTCGTGACTTAATGGGGAATGACACCAACCATAAATCAGAACGGCCGCTACCCCCTCCCCCCGCTACAAAGAAGGTCCATCCATACCAAGGATGGGAACCCATCGAAATAACAGAGGTATGCTGTTACACCCTATTTTTTCGTATGTAAGAGTACACCGTAAGCCAATAATGAAATCACCTTTGAAAAGTTTACAAAGTTAGTTAATCGTGTTAACATGGATGTTACATATATTTAAGATCATGAATATCAAGTACCAAGAGGGTTTGAAGGCTTAGAAGCTAAATGAATTGAAAAAAAATAAGTTTCGTCGAAAGTTGACAAGTTGGGAATGTTATAACATATACTTTTCGGGTGAGACTATGGTGCTTAACATTATAAGGAGATTATGTTATGAGTTAATTTAGTCGTATGATAGTCATGTGTTATATTTTGAAGTCAAGTGAGTTGTGGAATAAAAGTTGAAAAAGATCATCACAAGTTACATTCATAAATGTGTTGAACCTTAACCCAAATGTATCTAAGCTTTTCTCCCATCATACTTGGAATTATGGGATGATCAACCTACCAAATTAAAGATCTACGAGTCTAGTTTCTAACACATTATCAATACGACATCAGAGTCGAGAAATATTTGCATTTTTGTGAGACCATACAAGCAGCTCTCAATGGGACCCACTTAGGCGGTGGACGACCCTTGAACATTTTAAAGGGCTTGGACGGCTTATTTTTGGTCATTTTCGACCAAGGACAGTTCCCAAACACTCTCAACACCTCTCTTACAGTTCTCAAGGGTTCCAAGTCGAATCCAATGGTGTTTTACCTAAACCTAACCTCAAAAGTTAGCCTAAGTGAAGAAGAGAGTATTTATGGTGTAGTGATGTGAATAAGGGTGCTTGTAAGCTAAGGGAAGCTTTGGTTCGAGTTTTTTCAGATTATTTAAGGTATTTATAACACCCTATTTCTTGGAATTAATCTTATATATGTGTTGGTTGTGAGCACGTGATTTTTTTGCCCTATATGAATTACTCCCACAAATTCAAAACAAAATAATGTTCCCATTATTTGCAATTTCGTAGATTTTTGTAGCATTTTTTTTGCATTTATCTGCGCATGTTAATTTTGTTTAAATTATGAAAAATACAAAAATATGTTGCCTTTGAATTTAGGATTTAACTTTGCATTATTCGACATTATTTATGTGACACATACTGCGATGAAAGCACAGGCACTAGCCGATCATTTGGCTGAGAACCCCGTCGATGAAGATTAT